CTTAATTTATGGTATGGAAATCTTGAAAGCAATTTTTTTATGTAAGAGCTCTGGAAATTACTTTTAAACCAAAATTTGATATTTACATCACTTTTTGTGTGCAATATATCAATACATTCAATTATTAATTGTATTATTGTTATGATATTTTTTAATAATTCCAATGCCTCTGTAGAAATAAAAACTACAGAATTGTCAATATTTTTTTCATCAGGACATACTTCAAGCCAGCTGTCAAATATAAGTGGCATTAATAATTCTACGTATTTCACAAATTCATCTGCATCTGAAGTGTTATTAATGTTATTAATGTTATTTTCTTCCACATCATTAATTCTTTCAAAATCAATTTTACAATTTTGAAAATTATATTTTATATTGGTATAAGTAGGAATATATCTAATATTTTTATTCACAGTTATAAGTTTTACACTTTCATCTAAACTGATATTCTCTTGAGATTTAAAGAAAGTAACCATGGAACTAAACATAGTAGCAAGCCTTTCTAATACTTTTATCCTCCATTTAACATTACTATTCTTGGAGTTTAAGGTTGTTACTAATAGTCTTCCGGGCTTCATTTCTGTATGCAATTTGGAAATCATATCTAAAAAATTTGGCAGCACTTTATAACTGTTTTTTGCCAGAATATTGCTACAATTTTGCACAAGTACATCCAAGAACAGTAAAGCATCTTCTTTGATGTAAGGATCAATATGTGTCATAGAACATCTCAAATAAGAAATCAATACATCACAATATGGATTAAGTTGATCATTAGAAATTGGTCCAAGGATTAGACTTAAAACTTTCAAAGAGTCATGTCTAATATCTCTTTCTTTATCGAGGGAGAGTGCACAAACACCTTGTAAAAGAGGTCCAAATTGAGAACTTAACAATTTAAAAGAATGTTTTGATAAGATTTCTTTCAATTCTTTTACAGCATTTTGTCGAACTGTCGAATTATAATGTTGTAAACGTGACAACAAATCCTAAAAATTAAATTTTTATTTAGAACACATTTTATTTAGGTCCTTATCATAGAATTATACATCTAATTCTTACTATATAAATACCTTAATATTAAGTTTTCTCTTGCTAAGTATTTCCATCTTATCATGCTGTTTTAACTGTTCTCGTATAACAATTGTTTTAACTTTAAACGAAGGATCCATAATATTTAAATCTTTTGGTAAATGTTTTATTTTTTTTGCTTTGAATTTTGTTTTCATTTTCTCAGACTTTAAGCGTTTCAAATATTTATGATCCTTAGCCATTAATATAAATTTCTGTCAAATTTTAATTCATAAAAATTATTATATGTATTTAGGTTAAGTTAATATAACTTTTAGGTTAGTATAGACAACAGTAAATTATTTTTTAACAAATAACATGCTTAATTAAAAAATGTATATATACTATGACAAAAAATACATCATGTTTTTCAAAATTATCTTCAAAATCTAATTTTATGTCGTATACCTACGATACATGCAGCAATCACGTACTTTCAAGTGCAACAAGCTGAAGTGATGTGTATATATAAATGTGTATTTCTTTACTCTGACGTCGAATGTAATATAAATTTCTTTAATTTAGGGAAAATAATTTGTGAATGTCTGTAAAAAAATTTCTTGCTTCACAAAATCAATGTTTTATTCTCAATATTATATTATTATAATATAACAATATTATTGCCATAAAACTCTACAACCATATTAGGTTAAATTATAAAAAATAGTCGTATATTCAGTCACAAAACATTAATTCAATTATAGATTTATCATGACAAAGCAGATGTTTGACCGAGACAAAAGGTAAGGAGTTTACTCTTTCTATGTTTAATCTTTTCATTAAAATAAAATAACACATTCTGTAAAATATTGTTTAGTGTTGCATCTTTTTTTGTAATTTTTCTTTAATATTTTATATTTCAAAATTAATTTACGTTAGAAATATCTAGTGTATTTATCTTGCAAATACATTATTTTTAGTTACGATATATTTTAATTAATATTAATGTAAAAATATTTTAATTTAAATATAAAAATTTTTGAAAATGTAATAAAACTTATATATAATCACATTATGATATAATTTTTATCTGAAAATGAACTTTTGTTGTATTAAATATTTTTGTATATTATATTATTTAGATAATATAGTATTTAAAATATGTCATACATAAAAAAACGATATATGTATATATGTTTTCTTATATAGTTTTTCAGATATTATCAATGAACTGTGAATTACAATCAATTAAAATATTGTGAATGAATCAAATAATATACTATAGTGTAACACTAATTGTGTAAACTTGTAATAAAGTAATAGACAAAAGTCATTAAGCAATTACTTTTTAAAGCTATGGAAAATTTAAATAAAAAATCAAACATAAATGCAACAATGATTTTTTGCCCTCCAAATATTACCTTTACTGATATTTGGGTAAACCATGGAATGTCCAAATGCTTTATGGACACTATCAGTATTGCTGTTATTTCCTCATATTTATTAATTTTTGGTACAATTCAACTTTGGATATATCAAAAGTATGGAACAGAAACTGCTGGGACTCTGTTGTCCAGAAATAAATTATACAATGTACAAAAATTTTTCCTTTATTTTGTTCCAATACTTAGTATAGTAAGAATAATTCTACAAGGAACAATCTTGGATGATAATCAAATATATGGTTATATGGTAAGAAATTATATTTAGTATTTATTTATTGTATTATTGTTTAATTTTAAAATATAAAAGAATTTCATTTTTAGATTCTTACAACAGTATTAACAATAATTATATATCCATATTCGATGTACATATTAAAAGTAGAGAGACACAAATTGTTACCAAGTGTGCCACCACGAGGACATGGACTTGTATTATTGGGTTTTTGGACATTAGCATTTGTTGCAGAAAATCTTGTGTTTGTTAATATTGGAAAACTTGAATGGTGGTTTCATTTAAACACGTAAGTTAATGAGCAATATACTTAGATATTCACATGATTAATTTTTGAATAATGGTTGTTTCAACATAGCTGGCAGATATAGAAAGATTTAATAGAGATAAAATAGAGATCTAATTTCTTTCAGTTAGCAGAAAATTGTGATATTACAAAAATTTATTGTATTTATTAATAATATGTTAAATTATTATAGAATAAGAAAAGATAAAATAGCGGTATTGTGCTTGAATTTTATATAATAGATTTTACAAAATTAAAGTTAAAGTATTTTTTAAACTAATAATTTTTTGACATAAATAGCTTAATATAATTTTATGACAAATAGTAAGCCTCATCGACTGGCATATTAAGGATTGTATTAAGCATATTAATTCCATTTGAGAAATTCATTGTATATCATATTCATATGACTTCTACGCGTTCATCTACAATCCATAGAAAAAGAAATACATCAGAATATAACTCCCTTGAAATTGTACTTTTTATTTTTCATGTACATAACTAGTAGTTTATTATTAATTTGCATTTATAGATGCTGATTACTTTGTATGTTGTACAATATAAAAAAATAAAAAAGTACAAAATAGAAATAATTAACACTAACAATAAAAATATAGATTGTAATTTGAGATGACAGTTACAAAGGATTAACAAAGCAATTAAGATTTGGTCTAAATGAGCTCAGTATGAGATTACATCTGATGGAGTAGTTTTTATGTATGTGTGTGCTATTTACAGATTAACAGATCAGATTGAGATGGCACTATTCATTCTACGTTATGTCAGCAATCTTAGTATCTTTGCTTTAGGACTCAAAGCGCCAGGTATAACTGGCAATACAGATTCTGAATATCATACTTTGAATAATGGCCCAGCTTTACAAGCAAGATATTATCAAAGTGTAAGTTAAAATATAATTTTAGTGCATAAATTCTTTTAATCGAAAAAAGATCTTATAATCACTGATGATTGATAAAATAAAATAAAATTTTTTACATTAATATGTGTATATCATAATATCTATTAAATATTTATTATAGGTTAAATTTTGTGTTTTGCTATACATGCTGTAACTTTGATATTTTTAGAGACCTGAGGATACCAGCTCTACATGGAAAAATGCATGGTATAAAATAAAAACTTTAGCACCATTCTTATGGCCAAAGACTTTTGTGCTTCAACTTCGTGTTATTTTTTGCTTTGGATTACTTATATTAGGACGTCTAATTAATTTATATGTCCCAATTTATAATAAAAAAATAGTAAACAGTGTCACTGATACTCCTGATTTATTCAGGTATACAAAATTTCTATGATCAAAATTGAAATAAATAAATAGATATTGTGCTTCATGAATTAATTTCTAACAAATTTTCGTAACAGATGGGATCTTATATTAATATATGTAACATTCAAATTCTTACAAGGCGGTGGTACAGGTGGTATGGGATTATTAAATAATCTTAGGTCATTTCTATGGATTCGTATACAACAATATACAACCCGAGAAATAGAAGTGGAATTATTTAGGTAAAGCTTCTAGTGTTACATACAAATTTTTATACTTCCATTTCATTTTTAAATTTTATTTATATAAATATCTTTTTAGACACTTACATGGATTAAGTTTACGTTGGCATCTAGGAAGAAAAACTGGAGAAGTCTTGCGAGTTATGGATCGCGGGACAGATTCTGTAAACAATCTTCTCAATTACATTTTATTCTCAATTGTTCCAACAATTGTTGATATCATTGTAGCTGTTGCATTCTTTGTTGTTGCTTTCAACAAGTGGTTTGGCTTAATTGTATTTCTAACTATGAGCCTTTATATAGGTAAACATTAATTTTTAACTTTTCTGTACCCATTGCTAAAATTATGGAATTTTTATTGAATTTCAATATTTGCATCAGTTGCTACAATCTTCGTTACTGAATGGCGTACTAAATACCAGAGGCGCATGAACTTAGCAGATAATGCTCAAAAAGCACGAAGTGTAGACAGTTTACTTAATTTTGAAACTGTCAAATATTATGGAGCAGAATCATACGAAGTTGACAATTATAGAAAAGCAATATTGGAATTTCAAGTTGCAGAATGGAAATCAATGATAACATTAAATATTTTAAATACTTTACAAAATATAATTGTTTGCAGTGGTTTACTTGCTGGTTCTTTACTTTGTTTGCATATGGTTGGTACCGAATATTCATTTAATTGTTAAAATTCTTAATATCTAATTAATTAATTGTAGGTTGTAGCCAAACAAGGTTTGACCATTGGTGATTATGTCTTATTCGCAAGTTACATTATACAGCTTTATGTCCCACTAAATTGGTTCGGAACATATTACCGGTGAATATTATTACATTATATCATTACTTTAAAATATTTATATTCTTTTATTTTAACAGAGCGATACAAAAAAATTTTGTTGATATGGAAAATATGTTTGATCTTCTGAGAGAAAATCAAGAAATTATCGATGCTCCAGGCGCTGGTCCATTAATAGTAAAACATGGTCAAGTTGAATTTTCAAATGTGACATTTAGCTATACACCTGAGAAAGTTATACTAAAAAATATTAGCTTTATCGTGCCAGCAGGAAAGACCGTTGCATTGGTTGGAGCATCTGGAGCAGGAAAATCTACTATTATACGCTTACTATTCAGATTTTATGATGTGGAGCAGGGTGCTGTTTTGGTTGATGGTCAAAATATTAAAACTATCACTCAAAGTTCTTTAAGACGAGCAATAGGTGTCGTACCCCAAGATACAGTATTATTTAATAATACTATAAAATACAATATTCAATATGGACGTATTGAAGCTGCAGATGCAGATATAATATCAGCAGCTCGAAACGCAGATATTCATGAGCGAATTCTTTCATTTCCAAACGGTTATGATACACAGGTATAGATACAACATTAATTTATTGATTTTTCATCATATTTATTCCATATGTTTGTGCATAGGTTGGTGAAAGAGGTCTTCGTTTAAGTGGTGGAGAGAAACAACGTGTTGCTATCGCGCGTACAATATTGAAAGAACCAGCAATCGTACTTTTAGATGAAGCAACAAGTGCACTCGATACACAAACAGAACGTAATATTCAAGCAGCATTAAATAGAGTGTGCGTTAATCGAACAACTATTATCATAGCACACAGATTATCCACGATAATACATGCCGATGAAATTCTTGTTTTGAAAGACGGAGAAATCATAGAGAGGGGCAAACACGAAGAATTGATTTCTTATAATAGAACATATCATTCCATGTGGGAGGCACAATTGCAAAATGATCAAGAGGCTACCAAAGATTCAAATGATGATGCTCCAGAGAGTGAAACAATGAAATCTTAATTACATTTGATTTCGTTAAATGTAACAATTTATTTAAGAATTACATATATGCGAAAATTTACAGAGATTTATCTGTATTACTAAGAATTCTAAGTTACTTACTTATTAGAAAAATATAAATTTGAGTAAACATACATATTTTAGTTTATTATTTATTTTAAATTTATATAAAAAATAGAGTGGCAGTAGTTACTTTATACTTCTCTAAATAATTTACTATATCAAAGCATGATATATTATCATTGAAAATGATCTAATGTGAGTATTTCTACAAATTAAAATTTCATTTTTTAAGAAAGTGAATAAATTAATATTTATAATCACTTTTAATAAAGTTTCTTATTAATATTATACTTGGTTTTAAATAAATATTTTTAATTAATTTTTTACGCTTATGTTGTATCTTTTATTACATCAAAGTTTGTAATAGTTAATTTCATTATACAATGTTTATTTTTTTTATGTAACATTAATCACTTTGTTCTTCAGACTGTGTTTGCATAATTTCATTTGCGAACGCTCCGTCTGGAACCCAACCAGATTCATCAATTGGAGATGTTACAATTGTTTCTTGTACACCCCAAAAATAATAACTTGTAAAAAATATCCATAACAGAGCATACACTACCTGATAACAATCAACAAAAAAAATTATTTTTATGCTAAATTTCCTTTTATAAGATTCGTATATTGTTTTTTTAAACACTTGTTTGATGAAAAATATTTCATTTTTTAAAATGTTATAGATAAAATTTATTCAAAATTGACAGAATTACTTTGAAAGCGATTTTTGTTTCTTGTGTAACCATATTGAGAAATCATGGATGAAGTTTGTTCATTTCGATGACAGGGTCTTTATATATTTTTTCCTATCATGAAAAAATAACTTTAAAAAAGATTTAATATTAATAAAAATTTGATTTAATATTGATATAAAATTTATATTAAATATCAGATTTGTAAATTTTCTATAAAACTCGACTGCGATCAATTTCAAAGAATGTATTTAGAAAAAATTATTTGTAAATAATTGACGTACAATAATCTAACTTAAACTGATCACCAATCTCAATGGTGTGACGTGTGTCAAAATGTTTACATATGAATAAAGATAATACTATAATAATATCAGGTAGAATTTTTCTTTTATTATGAGTAATTAAAGATGAACAGCCTCGGTTTAAGCCTAATTTTAAAAATGGGTTGTACATGCTCAAAAGAAACGATAACGGTAAACTCAAGAAATTATACGGTTCGTGAACATCTTGGAGAAGGGCAAGTTTAATCATGAAATCAAATTTTATATATTTTAAAGCATATCCATTTACTTTTATTTAAGTGTGCTTTTTTCTAAACTTTTTTCTGTATCTTTTTATCGTATATTATTCTCATATCGTTAAGATAAATTTTATTAAATTCTCTGATAATTTAACCTAATTCATATCACATTTGCTTTATATAATAAGAGACAATTTTTAGTTATTTATAATTATTTTTTTTAAAGTAAACTAAATAAATCATATATAAATATATTTAATTTAATAATGAATATTATAAGATATAAATGTAATTGTAATGCGATTTCAGTGGATTTAGTACTGTATTCTTGGTAGAAGATACAACAATTCACAAGAAATATGCCATTAAAAAAATCATTTGTCATGGATTGGAAGACCAAAGATTGGCAGCAAAAGAAATAGAATACTATAATCTTGTAAAACATCCAAATATTATAGAGTGCATCGATTTTACTTATAAAGGAACAGATTCTATTGTTAATGCAACTAGTGAAGTATTAATTGTTTTACCATATTATCATGTAAGTTATTTCTATATTTCTTAAATAACGTGTTTATAAATTTTGAAAATATAAATGTTTCTGTGTTGTTAGAGAGGAACTCTTGCAAATGAATTAGAAAGACATGCTAAAAGTAAAGATTATATGAGTGCATCAAATATTTTAAATATATTTTTACAAATATGTGAAGGTGTAAAAGCATTTCATGAAGCAAAGCCAGAACCTCTTGCTCATAGAGATCTAAAGACTGCGAATATAGTCCTTGACGATGGAAATACTCCCATCATAATGGATTTAGGTATATTAATTTATTATACTATGATAAAGAATAATAATTATTAAATCAAGATAAACTTCTGTAGGTTCTGTAGCACCAGCCAGAGTTAAAATATGTGGTTCACAAGCAGCACAAACCTTGCAAGATATAGCAGCAGAAAGATGTTCAATGCCGTACAAAGCACCAGAATTATTCAATGTTGAAAGTTACTGTATGGTAGATGAACGAACAGACATTTGGGTAAAATCAATATGATTCTTAGTTCCAAATATTTATTCCCAATTTTAATATATATTAAAATATATATGTATTCTTTTAGTCTTTAGGATGTATTCTTTATGCACTATGTTACTTTAAATCACCGTTTGATGCGGTATATGAGAGAGGAGACAGTGTTGCTTTGGCTGTAATGAGTGCAAATATTACATTTCCAGAAGATGCTCCTTATACTGAGGTACAATAATATTTAATTACAAGACATTAATTGAAGACATTTTGAAGATTTAACCGTCGATTCTTCTTATTTTACAGGATATGCAAAATCTGATTTTAACAATGTTAAAGGTAAATCCTATGGAACGTCCTTATATATACAGCGTTATAGAAAACGTACAAGATTATATCTTGAAATTAGAAAACAAAGTATAATTGTGTAAAAAGCAATAATTTTACTATTTATTCAAACATTTATGTACAAAAAATTTTTATGTATACATAATGTTTATTATCCTGCAAAAAAACAACCAATGTATGGCAATATTATAATACAATAACGTAAAATGAAAGTTTTAAACAAACAAGGGTTACTTCGATATATTACTTTGATATTTTATTTCTAAAAAAGGAAAGCAAAAAAATTATAACATAAGAAAGTGACTTTTCCAACAAGCAATTTATATACATATTAAATATGTAAATATTACCATTTTATAATACATTTACATAGTATAATTGGAAACACAAACATAATAATATATTATATATTAATATAAAAAGACATTGTTAATTAAATTAGTTTAATAGTTTTTTCATACAAGTTGACATGAATATTATTTTATTACTACAAATAAACTGCTATGAATCAAGCAATTTTTACAAAAATATTAAGAGCGTGATTTAAATAATTAAATAAAATAATCATATATTATAAAAACGTTTATCTGTATATATTTTTATATATAATGTAATGAACATTATTTTTTGTTTTAATATTACGAATACTGAAAATGAAAATTTTCTGGTATTTTATCGAAATAAAAGTCATTGCTTTGCGTTTAGTATCGTAATTTTTAATCCCTTTGTATTTTCTCTCGAATGTAATTTCCGAAATTCATATAATTAAGTTTATTACGTGTAATGTTTCTAATTTGAATTTTACGTACAAAACGATTGCATGTGTATGATATGACGTAATCGTACGAGACGAACACGTCATAATAACAAATGTTTAAACATATTTATTTAATAATATTTTTCATTAATTTACTGTAATTTAATAGTAAAATAAAATTTATGTTTTATTAATTTATTAAAAAAAATAATACGAGAACGTGAGTAGTGCAATTTTAATCACGAGAATGTATCGATAATTTTGAACCACACTTCACACCGGTAATGTACACATAGTAAGGATGCAAAGTAGTTTTTTTCATGAGTTTGTGCTTTAACTAGACGTCTTTATTTTCCTCTCAAATAATAAAGGCGTTTTAAATTATCTTTTCCACTGCATCTGTGTATAGATTGGAAATCGTAAGTGAATATAAATAAATTTTCAATTGTTTCGTAGTAATAAACTAACCTTATATAAAGATCAAAGTAAGGAACATTCTTAATCTGTAACAAAGATCTAGCAATTTAGTAATTATAATTTAAATGTGATACACTTGAATAAATTTCTAATCGTTTTTTATAATAGACTGATCCCATATGAAGGAGTCATGAAAAACATGTTCGGTCTTTTGGTAAAAATTTAGTGATTTAACAATTTCTAACATTAACGTATATATCATGTTAGAATCGAAAATTCAACATTAGAAATGATAAAGTTAATTTTTTTTTTTATGTAATAATTCATAAAAAGTACAATTTTTATTAAACACTAGAGTAACCCTAATTTTATATAATATTAAAACTACTTAATAATTAATAACTTTATTAAAATTGATATTTTAAATGATTACTTTGTGCTTGTATTTTATATAAATATTATATACAACAATTAATTTTCTATAAATTCTATGCTCTTACCGTTATCAAATTATTTTAAAAAAATAATAAATTTATAAAAATTTTAGTTTTATCATGACATAGCAAATGCTACAAGATTTACGCAAGACATCTCGCGTTAACCTGCTGCTATTATACCATGAATTCCAAGCAAAAACGGCATGAATTTAATAAATTAATAATTTTTGTACTTGATATTTGCAGTTTTATATTTTGTATATGTTTTTTTTCAAAGAATTCAAAAAGAATTTATTTTTAAGAGTTGACTTGAAAAGGTCAAGGTTATATTTCAGTGTAGACCGTCATAAGTGGAGAGATAAGTGAGCACCTAAAGCTATTATTAGTTAAACTTTATCTATTTTTTGTGATTAAAAATAATTTAGAAATTTTTTTTACTGTTCTATAGATATTTTTGGAAATTTAAGGATTTATGAAAATTTATATTCTTATGGACGTAATTGTAAAAATGAAATTAAAATAGAGATTTGTTTTATATATGTATATTATAATGAGTATGTGCTTTGAATATTCTTTTGAATATTTTTTTGTATAGTATATGTTTAATACAGTTGTGCATTTTTCTGTTATATTATATTATAAATAAATATTTAGTAAAGTTACTAAAATAAAGTTACTAAAATAAAGATATTCCATTTATCTAAATAACTAGCATATGTTATTCAATTATAATTTCTAATTGTGCATAAGAAAAATTTTTTATTAAATAAGTTCATAATCAATTTTAGCTAGTGAAATTATAAATTATTAGATGTCAAATTATGTAGTAGATTTATCATCTGATAATAAATTATTTGAGAAATTAATAGATAGTGATCTGCAATTATTTTTCATTTCGCTAAATTGAATGAAAATGTGATTATCATGAAATAATCTTTTGTAAAGTTATGTCAAGTTCGAGAAAAAAATTCTTTGCATAATAAACAATCGATATAAATTCCAAAATTGTTTGTGAGTGCTAATTAATTCTCTAGTTATTTCTTTTAACATATAATTAAACTTCATAACAATCATGATTATTGCTTAAAACAGTATTTCAATTTGTAACATTAAGTTTTTAATACTCATTTAATTTGTAACATTGAAACCTTAATATTCTTTCTATACAAATTCATTAATTATGGTCAAATTTTTGTAAATACGTAAGTACAGTAAATGCAGCAATTTTTTGAACGATAAAATCAGGAGTTAATTATATAATAATCAAAAGAGTTTAAAACTTTTGTTATCTGTCCACGTGGAGAATACTGATCGCGTTACAGGTCACGTGATGAATAGTTAATTCTCGTATGATACTTGAAACTTGAACATTAAAATTGAAATTAAGTGAAACGTTTTTGAACGATTCTTTTGATGAATGTTGCATTGACAATATCTTTAATATATTTTATAATTGTGTATATATGATATGTAATAAAAAAAGAAATGTAGAAGTTACTTGCTTTTATGTTAAATAAAGAAGCAGTAGATATATTGGCATGTTGAACTTAGATATATTTTTTAATCCAGATTTTCTTAAATTCAGATCTTAAATTTATCATATTAAAAAAAGAAATGCTAATTATAATTAATTAAGTGATAAATGTAACTAAAACTTTCATGAAAAGTTATAAACAATAGATTAAATGTAAAAAATTTTCTAAATTGGAAAGAAAGTTTGCGAAAATTAAATTGAGATAATTTTAACGTTAGAACTTAAAAAGTTATTCTAAAACTAAATGTTCAGATAAATTTTGTTCAATTTTTTGTTAAAATTTGTAAATTTTATTTACTAGATAGATTTATATATGAAAGATTAAAAGAATTTGTCGTATAATTACATAAGTTTAGGAAATATTTTTATATTTTAATCTTCAAATTGTAAAGGATATAACACATGATGTTGAAGAAAGAAAGAAACGAAAATAGGTTAATATGATCACACTCATAGGGGGGAAAAAAAACAGCAGAATCGTACGATATCTTGAGATATCGTCAGCTTCGGATCTTACATATGCGCGCAGTGTCACTTTGAACATTCAGTCAATCGCCAGCGATTTTGCGTGGCGGATGTTTTATGTTATTCTTTGAATAGGTAAATTTAGTGCTAGTGAGTTTCAATTTTTTAATTTGTATAACGTTTACCAGTTAGTAGGTGCAGCACTAAAGTGAGTTTGTAAATTCACACTTGTAGTTGTAAATTTCATTCTTTCTTTCTGTGATTTCGCTGATAACAGAAGTTTATTTAAATTTCATTATTTTGTTATAAAAATATTTTACAGTATTTTTTCATGTACGTAGATTTAGTAATAAAGTAGTAATAGAGATTATTACAGTATAGAAAATTGAAAAAAAGCATATTATGTGAAATACCATGTACTCGCTAATGTTAAAGTGAAAGTGTAATCTGAGTTTCTCTTATATTTTTCTATTTATTTCGTGAAATTGTTTGAACAGTAACTCATTATGATCTAGATAATAGTTTTACTTAGATTTTCATGATTATAATATTTAAGTATTATAAAAATTATAATTACGTATAGTACTATTTTATCAAGTGATCGTCAGTCGGAATCGAATTTGGACAGTTAGCAAGGGAATTACTATATACTAAAAATTCCACCTCATAAAATATACATTATATATATATATATATA